TAAGATATGTTGATGACATTTTTATTGTCTGTGGAAGAAGATCAAAAACTGAAGACACGTTGATAAAATTCAACTCATGCCACCTGAATCTCAATTTCACAATAGAACACGAAGAAAATGATACAATTAAATCCCTAGACGTTTTTCTGGTGAAAAAGACTGATGGCACAATCGAAAGATCTATATTTAGAAAGTCTTCATGGACAGGACAGTACATTCACTTCAAGAGCTTTGTTCCAATCAAGTATAAAAAGAACTTAGTCAGAACATTGTTCAAAAGAGCACGAAAAAGTTTTTCTGACAGTATAACTGAGCATGAAATAAAAGCTCTGAAGGATATTTTATATAAGAATGGATATCTTGAGAAGTTCATTAATAAATACTCTAAAGAAATGAGCCCTTGCGAAACTATCCAAACAGTTCCGGAGAAATATGTCTGTGTCAATTTGCCATTCAATGGAGTTGATGTACAAGAAGTAGTCAAACGAAGACTCGATATAGCTATCAAGAGAACTTATTATGTTGTAAAATGTGTTTTCCCTAACACCAACAAGTGAGTGCTTCAACAACCTGGGAAAGACCAGTCACTAGGCCTCGACACTTTAAACTGTGTATATCAATTTGCGTGTGTTTGTGGAAGCGAACCCATAGGTCGTACAGGAAGGCGATTGTCTACTCGCATGATGCAGCATTCGCAAAAGTGGTTGAAAACAGCTGAATGCAAAGTGCCAAAAACCTCAATAACAAAACATCTTGTTGACTATAGACATGATATTGACACTGTCAAGTCACTGACTTCTGTCATCAGACAAACAAAACAGGAAGATTCTTGCAATTGCAGAGGCTTGTGCAATCCGAGTTTATAAACCAGGTCTCTGTGTACAAAAGGAGATGGTCATCACTCTGAATCTACCATGGTAATACCTTTTACTTATTAACTGTTATTATTAATATTAATAACAGTTTATTCTGCCTTTTATTATTATTTTTATTATTATTATTGATTCATTTAAAACTATCTTTTATCAGTAGCATTATCTTAACTCACTTCAGCATTATTATTATTATTATTGTTATTATTATTATAACTATTACTGTTGATATTACTCTGTTTTCAGTTCTTGATATATTCTCTGATGATGACTTATTGTTTATCTAAGTGATGCAATTGAAGCGTAATGCATTTTATCTTAATTTCAAACTCTCATAATCACTCTCCCCTTATCTATTTGAACATGACCTGGAAAGCATTCGCATGTGTCTTTCTGCATGATTAATTCAATGTAGTTCATTTGCTTAACAGTCTTATATCTCCCAATGTAATTTCAAAAGTATATATATATCCTCGTATGTATTCATAAGTCCAACTCATCCCGGCTTGCTTTCTGACTACGTACTACACATACTGACATCCTGAAACGACTTTCCTGACAACTAAGTCAGACTGAGAAAAAACATTTCCTTCTTCTAGAAGAAACATGTGAATTCCGATAAAAAATATGGCGAAATGTAGAACAGATCAATAACTGATAAGTTTAACACAAGAAAATGTCTCCTTATTGATCAGTTATATATATATAACTTTGATTAAGGATAAATATCAATCCCAGAAATAATGATGGGCACATGATTTTAGTTGGTTTATTTATTCCTGTCACTGGGAAATCGATACGGCCATAGTTTATCGATCGGTTTATTGAATTAACTATGAATAATATAAAAAGAGTATATTTATTTGTTTGGACGAATGCTTTTGAATTTTCCGCTGACTGATTTTAATTGACTGGAATGTAAAAATGTGTACAAGTGTAAATATTACAGCGATAATCAACAGAAGATTGAGGATGTCACTAAGTAGAGCCTATGCCGCAGCTAGGCTGGTTCCCGCCTATCGAACAACTTGTTGTTTGGTGCATTTAAAAATCGATAGGTATCCTTCTCATGCTAACTCCAACTGTATGTACAAGTTTACATGTATCTGTAACAGCAGTTACACTGGAAGAGCAGAAAGAACAACATACCTCTGATTTTCTCAACCTGCACCAAAAAGCCTATGTCTAAAGGGAATATATGCTTTAAACGGTGCCATCGCCAGGCATGGGTCATGAATGGACATTGCAAGATTGTCCAAAATTATCAATAGGCAAAAGGGTTCAATTCTCCTCAAGTTTCACGAAGCCATCTCCATCAAACGCCTGAAACCCGATTTATATGTTTAGAAAGAAGCAGTTATCAGTCTTTCTTTGTCCTAGTGACTAGATACGTTCACCTCTCTTTCATCTGATTACTTAATGTTGAAAGTTTCCATTTTGTATGGTCGTTATTGTTCGGGATGAAGTGTCTATTATTATTATGTGTATGTTATTATTGTGTGCATATATTGGTTGGTTTTTGTTCAAAAATGAATTGTGTGCAAGTATGTTAAAATTATTTCTGTAGATATACTTAATAATGAATTTGGGCTGTAAGCAGTTGATGAGAAGCCAACAAAATAAATGATGGTACCAATTTATTCTGCAAAAACTGTTGTTTTTTGCTTTATTTAAATTCATCAAGGGGAATAAATATATGGAAAATTACTCTTTTCGTCGATATCATTCTCGGGCTGCACAACCGCAGATGTATATACAATACATTTTCATAGCTACAAAAAGAATGTGCCAAAGATGTGTTGTTAAAACTGTAAGTTTTTCATGACAGTTGCAAAATACAGAAAGTATTAATCGGGTAGGAACCAAAATTAAACTAAACTAGGAAAGTGAGTGGGAAGGTAAAATGACTGGTATGATTGAGTAGAGCTCAACTAAAATTGAAAGAGGGTCAAGTTACCATCGATATCATGATAAATAGAAATGTGATTGTGAGAAGATAGGGAAACAATATTTAAAAAATAAAAAGGATTAACAAAAGTTGTTCATCAAGTGTTGAGGCGAATCAAGCCCATTGTGGGTTCAGTGACTTTATAAACGTATTCCATATGCAGAGTTCAGGACTTAACATGTGAGTCGCTATCGCTTCCGTTGCTTGAAGAAGTTTATTTCGTACTCCTCTGACGAGATTTCCACGTACTACCTGGATGACCCTGAAGTTAGTACACGAGTTCGTTCGCTGTCCAGAATTGATCAAGTGTTCCAGATATGAGCTGTGGAGTAGTCGTTCTTTCTGCTTTGGAAGACTATCAGGGTAAATGTTCAATGATCTCTTTTTATGTATCTGCTACTGGTGAGGACGCTTTGACCATACTTTAAGGCTAAGTTGATTTTGATTTGTTGATAGTGGCTCACTAGCACAGTGAACAACTCTTTAAGATCTGTGAAGGTGAGTGATGGTTTGAGGCTCACCGTAGACGTTGTGACTGAGTGGGAATGCAAGTACATGCAATTGATGATTGCTGAACAGGACGAAATATAAGCATCACAGATTCCAGTGCTAATCAAAACCAGCCAGAAAGTTTATTCGTTATTCATTTTGTTCAAAGTTTCATCTGTCCATTGGGCTGAACACTTCAGTCGCTTAAACTGTACTTCAAATGACAATATCAGTATTACATAAGGAAGCCGACATCAATGGTAGATTCCCCTACAACCTGTCACTGATCATATAACCATTAGTTACCAGGTGCTAAGAATAGCTACCTGATTTTAGTTTGATACTGTTCAATAGAACACAACCATTATCGTACTGGACAGCAAACACAGGACTGTCAGGTTTCGTCGTAGTCAGCTTAAAATTAATCTTACAGGTCGAAATCTAATAACTGTTGGCTAGATACTCACTAATGATATTTGGGTCATGAGTTTGCAACCTTGATCACTTCTTTAGCTGACAATAATGCCTTCGGTTCCTCAAAACCTTCTGTGTGTTCTTTGTTGAATTGTTTTAGAGTAAGATGAAACAATAACTCTGGGCTTTTTGGTTTTCAGTAGTGTGTTAACTAATATTGTATAGTTTATTCTCAACGCTTCTGATAACATTCACCCAATTTTTATCTGAATTATTATTCTAGAAACCTCTAGATTGAATTATTCTGTTGGTTCAGGACGACATCTACGTTTATTATTGCATAGTTTTTTTACTCCAAAGTACTAATCAAAATATGATCGACCAAGTTTTCGTGTGGTTTCAAAACACCCTCCATCTAAAGAAAGATTCAAGATAAAAAAACAGTCGAAATAACTCTCTGGTGAAATATTTTTTGACTGCAAAATGGAGCAGGAAATTCCAAACTGGATTAGTTTATTTGAATAACACACCATGATACAGTAGTAATAACTGGATGACACTTCGAGCATAAATTATTGCTCATAATCATATCAGTTAGTCACAAGACTTCATAGTTTGCTTTATACGTGTATTTTCTATATTTCTCTGTTTCTGTCTTCCCATTGTTGTCTAATGCCACTTTCCATATCTTGGGTATAGGCGTAGCGTCATTCCGATTTAATGTGTGAAATGTTGAATCTCTAAACAAAACTAGTACAGTACATAACAAGGGTTGTGAAATCACACACAAAACATCTAAAAAGCCAAGTTCAAATGTGTTTAGTGAATCCAAGGGGAGTGAGAGGAAATTGCATATATGAAGCAAATCGTAAGGCCATGTGACTAACCCTGATATGATGATGAACAATAAATTCTGCTTTCAGTATCACCTAGTTATTGATATTTCGTCACCGTGTGTTATTCAAATGAATTTATCTAATACGGAATCATATTCGACCACAGTGCCCAAGCTCTACACTTACAATAATGTCAAAAATGCTGAAATCGCTCAGGGATAGTCAACTTCTTTAAGTGTTCAGATATCCAATACTGACAGAAGCTAAAATCTCCAAATAGATCCACTCTATCGGCCACCTTCATTCATTTAATAGGCTCTACTGATATCTTAAACCCACCTATCTTGGTGTATTATAATGTGTTGTCAGTCTAGTAAGTTGTTAGTAAAATCAGTGTTATATGTTTATTGCTTAGTGTTAGCTCTGATTGAATTTTATGGG